CATGGCAATGAAACGATGTACGGTGGAATGAATGTAAAACTAAAGTTCTCTCATGTAAACTATCAATATAATTCACAATAAAACATAAAAAAAAAAAAGACAGTTTGATATTCCAGAACATGTTTCAATTTCTATTAATAATGTCAAGCCATCACTAACACAGTACCGTAAACTGTCACAAGTTAAACATGAGAATCTAAAGGGGTGCAGCCTTTCTTGAGTCAATCTGGCAGCATCTGTTAAAAACATAACTGTTTACATCCTGAGGTGTAGCTATTTCACTTCTAGAAAGCCATCCTTCAGAAACATGTGCACACAAGCATAAAGATGTTCACTGAAACATTAACTGTTGAAAAAAAATAATCTCAGCTTCACTAAGGGAAATAAACTATGTAGCCTTGAAAAGGCTCCAGAATATGTTGGTACCTGGTGGCAGTTAGAGGGGAGAGGAAGCAGGTTCTCCACAATACATACAGTGTATGTATTTCATGTTGAAAATGGAAAACAGCTCGTGTACACACATGCACACTGGACGGCATTGAAGGCTGCAGTGTGGGGAGGGATGCTGGATGGGAGAAAGCGGTTTGTATTCTACAGACTTCCTTACTGTCTGAATTTGTTTGACAGTAATATGCATTTTCCTTTTGCTTATACATTAAAAATTTTTTTATTGCTACAAAAATGCAAAATAATTTGATAACGCATTGAACATGCAAGGTATAATGAACCTTTCCCTGTACCTTGGGAGTTGGGTCCTGCCTTCCTAATGAAGGTACAGAAATAAACATGGTGGAACAAAGACACAGACAAGAAGGGGATGTTTACACAGCACGAAGGTGGTTGACACAGACTATGCCTTGGAAAAGGAAGGGAAGGGAATGCAAAAGGAAAACAGCAAGGCAGCTCTTCAAATGCGCCATCACCTCTAAGAATCCCAACTCATCCAAGAAACTTCTTATGTATGTGATGATCTTGGAGCGGACGATAAATTTCTGCCTCACAAAATCATTCAGGATCAAGTCCAGGTATCTCTGACGATATCGGGTTTCCTAAACCAAAAGAAGCAGTTAGAAATCACAGATATGATCAAATAAGTGCAACGCAGTTAGGAGGCCATCTGAGCTCACCTTGTCTTTGAGGCCGAAGTGAAGATGAGGCAGCATATGCAGACAGGGAGAGAGCAGTGTGATCTCGTAGGGAATGATGCTCAGTTCACCCTTCTTGGTTTTCCCTGGGTTCCCCTGGACTCCAATGATGTCTCCCCGGCGCAGTTTGTTATTGATATGAATAAAGTCTTCTTCTGATTTATAGTTCCTGAGCAAAAAGAAAATAATTCAGTAGACGACAGTCCAGAAGAAAAGTGACCACTGGTTTACTCTAGAACCCTTATTAAACTGCTAAAGACGTGTTAATGTGAGCCCAAGAAGAATCTCAGATTTAAGGGCAACTGTTATAAAAAATACGGCTATTAAGGTTCTAGTTCATACATGCACAGGTTTATTTCAAACAAAACACATTTAAACTTGTCTCTGTGATCAGTAGATGGTTGGATACAAGTTCTCTCAGTAATATTCTTATCTCTGTGTCTGTGTTGTTGCTGTTGTTAAGTGACGTGGAGTCACAGTGACCTTGTATATGGTTTCCAAGGAGTGACTGTGCAGTTTGAACCAAAGCTTTCAGTTAGCAGTCTAATGCTTATCCTACAGTGCCACACCAGGACTCCTTAAGAGTGCCTTAAAAAACTGGTCCAGTCACAATAGTGACTTTTGAGAGGATCTGCTGGGACAGCTAAATTCAAGACAGAAAGGTTAGCTCAGATGGTTTTGGCAGCTGTTTAATTCCAAAGGAAAAACCTGACAGATTTTCATGAAGAACACAGGACGACCAGAGGCATATTAGAAAGAAGTCTTAAAGACCAGGAAAGTTGCCCCCATGAATATATGCCCACCATGACAATGCATCTACTCATTCTTCCATGGTAGCAAGGGTTGGCCTGTGAGAATTTCATTGGAAAAACTTAGCCCATCTACTCTAGAGCCCTGATTTTGCCCCTTCAGACTTCTTTTTGTTTTTAAAACTTAACAAGGAGCCATTTGAGTCTCTATGTTTTGACAGGGTCTAAATCAGAGTGCAGAATTCTGTGGGAAAGGGTTGTTTTGTGTTAGGTGCCCTCGAGTCAGTGCCAACTCCTAGTGACCCTATTTACAACTGAACAAAACCCTGCCTGGTCCCGCACCATCCTCACAATTGTTTCGCTGGAGCCTAATGCTGCTGCCACTGCACCAGTCCATCGCACTGGGAGTCTTCCTCTTGGTCACTGGTGCTCTGCTTTATCAAGCACAATGTCCTTGTTCAGGGACAGGTTCCTTCATGTCTGAAGTGTATAATCCTGGCTCCTAAGGAGCATTCTGGCTGTACTTCTTTCAACAGAGTCACTTTCAATATTCTTCTCCAACACCATAACTCAAAAGCACATATTCTTCTATGGCCTTCCTTATTCACTTTTCGACTTTCACACGCATATAAAGCTATTGAAAATATCATGCCTTGGATCAGGATCACCTTAGTCCTCAAGCTGACTGACATCTTTGCTCTTGAACACTTTAAATAGGTCTTATGTAGCAGATTTGCCTAATACAGTAGGTTGTTTGATTTCTTGACTACAGCATCCATGAGTGTTGAGTGTGAATTCATGCAAAATGAAGTCTCTGATTGATAACGTCAGCCTTTTCTCTATTTATCATGATGCTATTTACTTGCCCAGTTGTGAGCATTTTTGTTTTCTTTACACTGAGGTGTAATTCGCGGGGTTAAAGAGATAGAAGCACTGTCTTCAGAAGTATATAGACCTAGATGGAGGGCATGTTGAGAGACAATACCTTTGACACTTCGGTATTTTTGTTTCATAAAGGGTCTATGGCTTTGTAGCAATACTTTTTGACTCGCTCTCATATTGTCTTTATTCTTCTCTCCTGACCCAACCTGAGAGCAGCTACAACTTTCCCAGTAATCGGATGGCCTTCTGACCCTCTTCATAGCCTTACCTAATCATATCCACTTCCTGACGTCTCTACACTCACCAACGGGAAGGTAAGACCACACAGGCCCCTCTGTTCCCAACATGCTACTCTCTGCAGGTCTGGAGAGAACTGTGACTGGTTATTTCTATGTACCTGGAATTGGCCATGACTTGCAATTTGACTCCCTCTCCTCGAAGGTCATAGAAGATGAGCTTTCCCCCAGAAGCTCTTTTGGCATGGATCCTGCCTAGAATAAGAAGAGCAGAAATACTGATGGGCAGAACCAGAAGTCATGTCAAGTTATCATGCCAGAAAAATCTCCCTCTACATTTCTGTATCAGGGTAGATCATAAACTAGAACCCAAGGTCCAAGCCCTGCCTTTCTTTTCATGCCATTGATCCCCATTCAAAACAGATTTGCAGAAAGATGCAGCTTTAAAGAAGTCCACTGGATTTCCTCCTGAAAGATCCAAAGTTTTTGGATCTACCTGAATCCTGACATAAAAATACCCACTGTTGCTGAGATGATTCCAACTCATAGTGATCCCACATGACAGAGATGGGCCCCATCGGGTTTCCAAGGCTGTGAACCTTTATGGAAGCACACTGCTATGTTTTCTCCCATGGAGCAGCTAGTGGGTTTGAAGTGTCGATTTTTTTGGTTAGCAGCCAATTACTAATCTACTGTGCTAGCAGGATTCCTCACATAAAAAGAGAGAGCACAAATAGATAGGAGAAGCCAAAAACCCACTGTGTTAAAGATCTCTGAAAGCTGTGTGTGCCTCCCAAGGAGTGAACATATCACCACCTAGAGCCCTGCCAAGAAAGGATCCAGCCTGAATCAGAGCAAACTTGGGGATCTGCTGCCAACTTGCAGGAAACACCGAGCCCAGCAGAACACACTGAGCTGTACGTGCAACCAACAAAATCCAAATTGTACTAGTAGTTTACGTGCCCTGGGTTTGTCAACAAATCCTTTGTAAGGAAATAAAGGGATGTGGGGAAAGTGAACATTGTAAGAACTAAAAAGATGTAACAAGTTAAGATAAAAATGGGGAAGACTCAACTGTACGGTTTAGGGTCACATAAAAACAAACCAAACCACCCCACTGCCACCGAGTCGGATCTGACTCATAGTGACCCTGAGTAGGGTTTCCAGGGCTGTAAGTCTTTATGGGCCTAGAAAGTCTCCTCTTCCTCTTGCAGAGTGGCTGGTTGATTCAAACTGCTGACCTTGTGGTTAGCAGCCTGTTTAGGAACCCACTACACCAGCAGGGCTCCCTAGGGACCCACATTGTTGTTAGGAGCTGTCAAGTCAGTTCTGACTCATAGCAACCCATACAGGGTTTCCAAGGAGCAGCTGGTGGGTGTGAACCATCAACCTTGTGGTTAGCATCCAGAGCTTATCCCACAGTGCCACAGTAGGCCTCTTACGGATGCATAGTTGGATAATATAACCATGAAGAAATGCATGGCAATGATTACCAGCATCGTGGTTGTTGTTGGTATGCCGTGGAGTCGGTTCCACCGCATAGCGATCCAGCACAGGGTTTCTGAGGCTAACTCTTTACCGGAGCAAAAAGCCTCATCTTTCTCCATGGAACAGCTGGTAGTTATGAATTGCTGACCTTGAGGTTAGCAGCCCAATTCGTAACCACTGAGCTTCTTAGCATAGTGGCTAGAGGCTACATATTTATTTTGTAGGGCCTCTTCTTTTATTTTTAAAATAAAGGCAAAACAAACAAAATACCCACTGAAATTTGATTAGAACAGTAAAAAACTAGAGCCAATCTAAATGAGCTACACCAAGGATCAGCTAACTAACTAAAGTATTGTTGTTGTTGTTAAGTGCCGTCGAGTCGGTTCCGACCCATAGCGACCCTGTACAGGGTTTCCGAGGGTGTAAATCCTTACGGGAGT